CGTCAAAGTCCGTGAGCAGGAAGTCTGTCTCGACATCCTGGTCCTGGTCCTCGTCGATGTGAACCCGTTGGTGGCTCACCGTCAGTGGTGCTGTTGCTGCTGTCACGTGCACTGGGAAGCTGGAGCATGGACGATGTCGTGGATGTCTGCACTTGCTCCTCCCCCTCATCCACGACATCATCGGCCTTGGAGAAGGGAAGGAAGCGGACGTGGATGGAGGACACAACGGTGTTTGTGTCTGCGAAGTAGACGAGGTGGCTGTTGCTGCTGCTGTTGTAGCCGACGTAGATGCCTCGACGACCCTTGGGCTGCAGGCGACCGCGCTGTGTGCTGATGTGGACGACGGCCGGCTGCCCGAAGATGTGCAGCTGCGGCACGTGCTTGGGCAGCGAGCCCGTGACAATCTGCAGCGGTGTCTTGCCGTGGAGGGAAGGGCGAGGCATGTTGTTGAGGATGTGGAGGGCGTGGTTGCAGGCGAGGCTCCAGTACGATGCGTCGAGGCCTGCACCCGTGATCATGGCTCGCACCATGTCGGAGAGGGTGCGCACCTGTCGCTCGACGATGCCGTTCTGCGCCTGGGTGTACGGCGGGGACTGCTGGTGCTGCTTCAGGTGCTTCTTGACGATGGCCTGGAAGTCAGCTCCGAGGAAGATGGCATCGGAATCCGTCTGGAGTGCTGTTGTTGTGGGCGAGATGGGGAGCTTGGTCTCGCGCAGGAAAGACTGGAACGCGGCAACTGCGTCCTTCTTGGCGTTGAGATGGACTGCATGCAGGAGCTTGCTTCCCTCATCGACGATGACGAGGCTGTAGCGCTTGCCCGTGGGCGAGTCCGCGGTCCAGTCGACGATGTCGGCATGGATGCGCTCGCCGGGCACCTGTGTGCGCTCCGCGTGCTTGCTGACGCTGTGACGAGTGCTCTTGGTCACTGCGCACGTTGTACACTGCTTGCTGCTGATGGCGTTGCGATCGTCGATGCCCATCAGCTTGCAGTACTGCTGCACGTCGTTGTCGTTGCGGTGGCCAAGCACCTCATGCATCGATGGTGTCTGCACCTTGCTCTGGGCTGCAGGAGCTGCTGCGTGTTGCTGTGGTTGCTTGCAGGCGTCGGCGGTGAGACCGTGTGCCGTGGATGGACCAACAGCAACAATGGGCCAGCATCGGAGGCTGGTGCGCTCCTTCAGCTTGACCTCGGCTCCGTGGCTGAAGCGCACGTAGTGCCCATCAGCGCCATCACGCTGCGAGTGGCCCGTTGGCCTGCCGCTGCTGTCCCTAGTCAGACGACCGAGGGCGATGAGGTTGGCCTGGCCCTCGGGCACGTAGAGGCACTCCTGCAACACAACCTGCATCGTGGCTCCGCTCGTCGTGCGTGCATGCAACAGCACAGAGCCAACACCGCGCACGGGCACACGTGTGCCGCCAAACGCAGTGATGTGGCGTGGATGGTGCTGTTGCAGGTGCGGTGTCAGCTCCACGAAGGCGTCCTTGACGAAGGTGAGGTGGTGTGAAGCACCCGTGTCTGCAAGCCACGTGAGTGGGTCATGCAGCTGCGTGGGTGTAGTAGCTGTGGCAGCGACGAAGGTTGCTGCGTCTTGACCATGTTGATGCTGTGCCTGTGCAGTGAAGCCTGTTGCTCCGTTGTCGCGTTGCTTCTTGCGACACTCTGCTGCACGGTGTCCATACTTGCCACAGTAGTGACAGTTGCCACGGAAGCGGCGCCCCTTGCTGTTGCTGTTGCCGTTACCGCCGCCGTTGTTGCGTCCCTGGCGTCCGTGGTTGTTGCTGTTGTTGGAGAAGCCGCGTCTTCCACCTCTGCGTGGCGGTGCGCTTGCCATGAAGCCGCCTGCCTGCGGCTGTGTGCGTGAACCACGCATCTGCTGTAGAAACACGACAGGTGGTGTGTGTGTTTACTGTAGGCAAACGCAACAAACAAGAACACAAGGAGAATGAACAAGCACAACAAGCTGCTGCCAAATCAACTCGGGCAGCACGCTCAAACAAACACAAGACAAGTGCACACACAGTCAGCAACGGCCAAGGCGACATGGGCAGAGTGTGCACGAACACAAACAATCTAAACAACGAACAGCATGCATATGTTACAAAGGGGCTTCGCATGGTCAAGGGGAACAGAAGGATGTTTACTAGTACCAGCCACGGGCATCAGCCCGGGCCACAAGAGGGCACAACAACAGAGAGGGGAAGCGATCGACAACAAGGAACGCAAAGGGCAAAACCACAAGGCCCAACGGAATGGCATGTGCAGATGAAAATCGTCCTACAACAAGGACAAAGGACCACTTAAAGCACACGGTAGTCAGGCGGTACAGTTGCATCACAACAGTTACATGGACCGTTACACGACGGTCCACCGGCAGGCAGCCAAGCACGTCGTGCGGTACCTGAAGGCGACGAGCGAGCACGGCCTCCTCTTCAAGCGATGCAGCGGCACGCGCAAGGACCAGCCGCTGGACCTTGTGTGCTACAGCGATGCCAGCTTCGGCACGGACCAGCTGACGGGCCGCTCCACGACGGGCTTCACCTGCTACATCAACGGCTGTCTTGTGTCTTGGAGCAGCCGGCTGCAACCCACGGTTGCGCTGAGCACCGCCGAGGCCGAGTACATGGCCATCTCCGCTGCAGCGCAGGATGTCGTCTTCCTGCGGCAGCTGCTCATGGACCTCGACGAGCCCGAGGCTGGAGCCACCAAGATGCTGACAGACAACCAGGCGGCCATCGCCATCGGCAACGACCACGTCACCAAGCCGCGCACGAAGCACATCCGGGTACGCCACCACTTCGTGCGGGAGCTCATCGCCGACGGAACCATTGTGCTGCAGCACTGTCCCGGCACGCAGATGGTTGCCGACGCGCTAACCAAGGCACTGGACAAGCAGACCTTCGAGCAGCACCTGCCACGACTGGTGGGAACATCGACGGCTGAGACGGAGCAGAGGAAGGCAGTTGAGGGGGAGTGTTGAGAGTGAGTGAGTTTCTGTTTTGTGTTGAGTCCTTCCTAATTTGCCTTCTCATGTGGTTTTGTCTTGTTTGCCAACAACACCTGCTTTGTGGTTTTTCCGTTTGCAAACATTCCTTCCTCTCTGCTGGCATGTGTGCCAACTGCCTCTCCTCTCCTCCTTCCCCTACACACGTGA